TTGCTGAATAATTTTATGCGGAGTATAAGTTTGTTCGGGGCAGAAATAATCTAACCGGATCATTCTTGACTTGAAGTAAGGCTTTTATCACCAGCCTGTCTCCAACCTTCCAGAATAATTCAGGAGTTTTCCGAGAGTTGACAATAGTATGACACCATGATAGTTGGAACCATCGGCCGTACAATGACCTTTAAATATAAAGACAATTACTTCGAATTTTTATTCCTCAACAAAACATTTTGAGGTATTTCTTTGACGAAAAGACCTGTAATATTTTTTTTTCGTTTTTACTTTTTTATAAACTCTGGTAGGATGCAGAGGTCAAACCATCAGCCAAACATTCTTCAACCTGATGCTCAGTCAAACCTTCTAGGATAGCTGGTTCTGTGAATTTATGTGCACGAGGCCACTGTGCTGGTAGGGGATTAACGATGGACACATTTATGAGCATATGTCAGCACAATGCTCTCAACGCTTACAAAGCACATGGCATTCCAGTGCCAGCGCAGGCATCGTTTCACATCACGCGGTGACCAAAGCACACATTGGTCATGTTGTAGCATGCAAGCCAGCGTCCACCGCTGCTAGACTGCTGCAATGCCGTCATTACGTCGTACGTACTACAGAATCAGAACCTTCAAACTCATGTTTTAATCGGCTACAAGAATCCATAAACCAAAATGTTTTTTAACACAATATTGACAAGTTTTTGTCACATAACAAACAATTAAAAAATGGCAATATATATAAAAAAGTGCGCAGAAGGATTATGCAGATATCGAATACAGTCAGCTGATGTGTAACTATCTGTAAAACAGACTGGCTATTCATTGAATGAAACTGTTACACTTTCTGACCCGTAGTAAAATATGACGGATGCCACATAATCATTCCGTTCGAGGGAATATTTATGTAGCATGGCACTTCTGGAGCCTGCCACATTGCAAAAGGGCAGCATCTGTACTAAATTTGTAATGAAGCGTGGTCAAATACCCAAAAAACCGTAAAAACGAGCGCAAAACAGAACAATCACCCAAACTTCAAAATAAAATTTGACAAAAAAATCTGTTTCAAACGAAAAGAATACAATAGACTACGTAGCATTTTTTAACATTTCAGCCCTGTCATCGCAAAAAAAAACAACCGAAAAACTAGTAAATGACAAAAAATGACGCGCAAAATCAGCTAAATAAGCTCACGACCAAACTCAGCAGAACAACTTAAAGATTTACAACAGAACAGTAAAATCTAAACTACGTGAGGCCTTCGAATCTCTTAAACGTGTAATTCATAAACAGCAAATCGTCGTCAAAGGATTTCGTGCCATGACTGATTTCTTGTTCGGCTAAACAAAACACGCAATAAAAAATAGCACAAAACCGCATCAATATGCAAAAAAAGCGAAACGAATGGAATTATAACATCGACTACAGCATAACAGACACTGATATCTTCTAAGCATAACGATAAGAATAAAAGTACGAAGGCCGATATCCAATCACTGCCAGTTTAATCACCACCCGTTTTGTTTCCATAGTCCATTATTCAAAACAACACGTTACTAGAACAACCGGATGTGCTCAGCCGGTAGAGCATCAGATTCAAAACTGAGAGACGGCGAGTTCAAGCCCCAGTCAGGTTACTTCATTCCGTTCTTTTAAAGTAAATCAATGAGTATCACTCTGTGAGAAAGAAACAAGATACTTATACTACGCTTGAACATAGTCGTTCTCGATCCTGCCTTTAAATTAAAGCACTTGCTACTGACGGAAATAAAATGGATATAAGGATCCAATCGTTTCATGAAAAGAAAGTGACTAATCACGACAATATAAGGAGGACCAACCTTCTAACGGATACAACTTTCTTTGCCTCCTGCTAGAATGATCTAAATTTATCAATGCATTTTGGCGTCGCGCCCTGATACCACCATCGGGACAAACTATATACAGAACTGTACTAATAAAATAAACTTCGCCATTGCCGGTCCCAAGCCCGGATGAGAAAGAAGGACGGTTGGAGACGGTAGCGAAATCTCCATAAACTTAAATTATACCGGTTCAGTCGTCGCAATAAGTAGCATTTGTATAAATAATAGTCAATAAGAGGAATTAATTACACTTAAGAATCACCATGAACCCAGTTTCATAATTAATAAGAAAGACTATCTTCTATCCAAACAGCTGGCGGTATGGAAAATAAAAATTAACCCGGATCATGTCGCTGGATTTACACCGTCAGCTGTCATCTAGTAGCATAAGGGACTGTTTATACCGGCCATGGCTTTATGGTATTTCAGTACTTTAAATGTATAGGCGCAAAACAGCACCACCGAGTAAATTTGAAGAAGTGACAGGAGACTATTGCTCTTACCGGCGGCAGGGGGAATCGAAAACTAGCGGCAAGCTTGC